CGGGGCCGCGGGGCCGGGGGGGCCCCCCGGGGGGCCCCCCGGAGCCCCCGCGGCCCCGGGGGGGCCCCCCGGGGGCCCCCCGGGGGCCCCCGGGGGGCCCCCCGAGGGGGCCCCCGAGGGGGCCCCCCGGGGAGTCATGGAGGAACTCCGGGGACTGGCCGAGGGAGAAAAGAAAGATGGAAATGCAATTCCACTTTTGAAAAGTTCAATTATGTGTTGAGCGACAACACAGAGAGGCATGGCTTCTGTGGAGTCGAAGACGGAAGACCAGGTGCTGCGGGAAAATAAAAAGATTTATTTATTTATTTATTTATTTATTTATTTGTTTGTTTGTTTGTTTGTTTATTTGTTTGTTTGTTTATTTTACACAAATTTAAAATATAATTAATTATCTGGTCCGCAACGAACGCATGCGCAGGCGCCCGGAAGAACCTCCCCAAACCCTAAACCCTAAACCCTAAACCCTAAACCCTAAACCCTAAACCCTAAACCCTCACCTCAGCTGCCCAATGGTTCTGCAGTTGGTGAGGCCCCGCAAAACGTCTTCGAAGTAACTGCCAAGAAAAGGCCGCAAGTCTTGCAGCCTCGAAACGTAGCGCCCCTTGCGTTCTTCAAACAAACACAAACCCTAAACCCTAAACCCTAAACCCTAAACCCTAAACCCTAAACCCTAAACCCTAAACCCTAAACCCTAAACCCTAAACCCTAAACCCTCAACTCCAAGTTGCAGCTCAAAATCCTACGCGGCAGTCCCTGAGCCTCCCCCCGCCTCAAAAGCTCTTTCCCCAGCACCGCACCCCAAACCCCAAACCCCAAACCCCAAACCCTAAACCCTAAACCCTAAACCCTAAACCCTAGAGGCTGACCGAGGAACTCGCGCTGCACAATGAGCCTGCCCTCCTCGCGCTGCATGAGGATTTCCTGGTTCTCCTCCGTCACTCTCTGGACTTCTTTTTCAAGAGCAGCAATCTTCAACTTGTGTTTTGTGTTTTCTGCTGCTCTCAACTTAAACTCTTCTTCTAATCTCCGACAAGCTTCTTCTCTTTGCTGCAGCCGCCGCCGCTGCTGCTCCAGTTCTTTCCGCATTTGCTTTTGCCAGCCGGGGCCCTCCGCGTCGTTTTCGGGGCCCCCGGGGGGCCCCCCGAGGGGCCCCGGGGGCCCCCCGAGCAGGGGCCCCCCGAGGGGCCCCCCGAGGGGGGCCCCCAGGGGGCCCCCCAGGGGGCCCCCCAGGGGGCCCCCCAGCGCGCCCCCCAGCGGGCCCCCCAGCGGGCCCCCCAGCGGGCCCCCCAGCGGGGCCCCCAGGGGGCCCCCCAGCGGGGCCCCCAGGGGGCCCCCCAGGGGGGCCCCCAACGAAGAGGGGGCCCCCAGGGGGCCCCCAACTTCGTCAAAGGCCTGGGGCCCCCCAGGGGGGCCCCCAACGAAGAGGGGGCCCCCAGGGGGCCCCCAACTTCGTCAAAGGCCTGCAGCTGAGCCCGAGCCAGCAGCAGCAGCTCGCGGCGCTCTATAGTGACGTGCTGCTCTAGGCCTGAGTCCGTTTCTAGGCAAAGAACGAGGTGGTCGGGGCCTGCAGCAGCAGCAAACCCTAAACCCTAAACCCTAAACCCTAAACCCTAAACCCTAGTTCGAGGTCAACCCCCGCCCCTAAACGCTGGCCGACAAACTGCAAACCCTCGACTCCAGAGCTGATGCGCGCACAAACCAGCCGCAGCAAAACGGCCAAACTTCCCCGCCAAACCCTAAACCCTAAACCCTAAACCCTAAACCCTAAACCCTAAACCCTAAACCCTAGAACATGAATTCTAGCGTGCTGCGGCACCTGAAGGAGAGACGCTCTTGACTTTTATGCTCGCGGGAGACGTTGAAGGCCTCGAGTGCGCCTGAGGGAACAAACCCTAAACCCTAAACCCTAAACCCTAAACCCTAAACCCTAAACCCTAGAAGGCGGGCGTCTCGTGGGGGTTTGGCTGTTGCGGAGGGCTTGGGAAGCGTTGACTGCGGAACAATGCACCGAAGTGGAGGGTTCGAAATAATTAAATGGAATTAAATTAATTAAATTAAATTAATTAAATTAAATTAATTAAATTAAATTAAATTAAATTAATTAAATTAATTAAATGCTGACAGGAGATAAACGACAAGGAGAAGCTGAACGCGAAACCCTCGTGACTTGCACTTGGCAGCCGTTGCAGCACAGCGAGGTGTCTGTACACCCGAAACTCGTCACCAACACGTCTTCTCCTGCAGCAGCAAAAACAAATAAATAAAAGTAAATAAATAAATAGTAAATAAATAGATTAAATAATAAATAAATAAATAAATTAAATAATAAATAATAAATGATTAATTAGCAGCAGCGCTGCAGCGCTGGATGCAGTTAAAGAGCCTCGAAGCAGCAGCAAGAAGCAGCAGCAAAAGCAAAGCAAAGCAACAGCAAATAATGCACACTGAAGACAAGCAGCAGCAGCAGCAGCAGCAGCAGCAGCAGCAGCAGCAGCAGTGAGCAGCAGCAGCAGCAGCTCGCAGGTGCCGTTAATTCTACTAGATGGACAAGAATGAGGATCGAAACAGCAGCCAAAATAAATAACAAATGGAGCAGCAGCAGCAGCTGCAGCAGCAGCAGCAGCAGCAGCAGCAGCAGCAGCAGCAGCTTGCGTTTGGCGCTGCTGGGGTGTATGTACACGCGTGTCTCAAATATCGAAAAGAAGATAAATACATTAAAATGGACAAATTTCATTTACATTTAAATATATATATTTTAATTTATGAAACAAACATTTCAAAAAGCTCAAAGACGAAAAAGACTGAAAAGAGGAAGTGAGGTGCACATACACCCGAAGACTTCGGGTGTATGTACACCTCGATGAATTTGCTGCAGCTCGTTTGCTGCCTATTCATTCACTTCTTTCGCTTATGAATATTATTTTTGATTTATTTTTAATATTTATTATTATTTTTGTTATTTTTATTCCATTTATTTATTTATTTGCCATTTATTTCAACTGGCGGCTGCCGCCCCCCCACTGTCCAGGTGTCTGTACACTCCGGCGCAGATATGCGAAGTGTAAATGGGCGTCACAGCCTTTCAAAACATTTATTATTATTTTAAAACATTTAAAATATATTTATTATTATTATTTTTAAATAACATTTAATTGCAACTTAATGCACTTGTTTGTGCACATAATGCATTCAATTTTTTGCAAAAAAACAGCAGCTAAGGAGCAGCAGCAGCAAAAGAGCAGCAGCAGCAGAAGAGCAGCAGCAGCAGAAGAGCAGCAGCAGCAAAAGAGCAGCAGCAGCAAAAGAGCAGCAGGGGGCAAAAGCCTCACCTGGGGAAAGGATGGAGACCTGGACTTGGCCGCCCGCGTGGAAGCTGGCGCTGGAGTTTTGCTGCTGCTGCTGCTGCTGCTGCTGCTGCTGCTGCTGCTGCTGCTGCCTTGAGACAGAGTGCGCCCTGCTGCTGCTGGGCGCGTGCTGGGGGGAGCCCCACGGCTGCCAGCTGTTGCTGCTGCGGCTGCTGCTGCTGCTGCCGTCTACGTTTTGCTGCTGCAGCGGGACGCCGTGGAGTCCCTGCGCTGCAGCAGCAGCAGCAGCTGCTGCTGGCCCCGCTGCTGCGTCTGCTGCAGCAGCAGCAGCAGCAGCAGCAGCAAAACCCCCGCCATCGTCCCCTCCATAAGGCACAAAAGCATGAAAGGGCCCCGAATTGAGGGCCCCAATGTCCCTGAAGTCCACTGCTGCTGCTTGCTGCATTGCAGCAGCAGCAGCAGCATTTCTGCTGGCAGCAAACGGCGGGACGGGGGGAAACGCGGCGTCCGGGGGCGGCGCTGCTGCTGCTGGCCCCGCTGCTGCTGCTGCTGCTGTGTCTGCTGCAGGGGGGCCCCCAAAGAGCTGGCTGCAGCCATCTGGAGGCAGCAAAGCCCCCGAAGGATATATAATGGACATATCTGCTGCTGCTGCTGCTGCAGCAGGAATTGCAAAAGCAGCAAAAGGGCCCGGGGGCCCCTCTTCCTGCTGCGGGGGCCCCAGGGGCAGCAGGGGGGCCCTGGGCGCGCCGCAGGCCGCAGCAGCAGCAGCAGCAGCAGCAGCAGCAGCAGCGTCTGCGTCTGCTGCTGCGCTCGGACCTGCTGCTGCTTGCTCTGCTGCTGTGTCTATTCTTTCCGACTCTTCCACATCCAAAGGCAGCTGATCGATGAGAGCAGCAAAAGACTTTATCTGCAGCAAAGTCATCATTGCAGCAGCGCCGCGGGCCTGCTGCGGCCGCGGCAGCGGGGCGCGCGGAGAGCTGCTGCTGCTGCTGCTGCTGCTGCTGCTGCTGCTGCTGCTGCTGCTGCGGCAGGGGGCGGGAGCAGCGGCGGCCGCCTCGAGAAGGCGCGCGGGGGCGGAGCGGGGTTCTCCTGCTGCTGCTGCTGCTGCTGCTGCTGCTGCTGCTGCTGCTGCTGGTGCTGCTGGTGCTGGTGCGGGCGGG